GGAGGGGGTGGCGGGGAGGGCGAGGAACTTTGAGAGATTTGGAATGCGTGGGTCCGCCATGGCCCGGGCCGCGAGTCGGCGACGAATCCGAATCACACGGCGCCACCCCTCTCTCGCGCTCTCTCTCTCTCCAACTGGAGCCGAGAGCCGGGGCGGCCGTGACGGTTTGGTTGGAACGCGGACCCGAGACGGGCCCCGCCGCGATGGAGTTGCTTTGCAAACTTCCTCTCCTTCTCCTTCTCCGCACCCACGTGGCGCCGCGGCCCCGCCGCTCCTCCCGTCACAACCTCAAACTACACTGGCACGAAATATGTGTTGAAGTTTAGGAGACCCCGTCTCACTTGCGACTAACCTCGAAAAATCTAGTCAAGGTGTGTCGTCGGCGTGTTGTCGTTGTCGCTGCGCTCCGTTAGATGTCTTTGGCAGCTGCACTCGGCACTCGGTGAAGTAGCAAATCGCGTGATCGTATCAATTATTTCCGTTAACACTTCAGTAAAAGACATTTTGCAAAATTAAAAATGCGGTATCTTCCCGGAAGTACACGCACACTGCCGACACGCTCACAGCACACGACGTAAACTGGGGCTCGGCCTATCGGCACGGCACGGCAGGGCTGCCATCCTCATCTACACAGAAATCCGGTAAACTTCGCTACACTCCCGGCTGATTCTTAAACACCCTCTATGAGGCCGTCAATTTGACGTTGAACAACTGACTCAAAGTTTTGGTCGGTGTATGACGTCAAAACGACTTCACCGTACGACTTTCAGTTCTCCTGCGCAGAGCCAAGTACAATAATCGTTAATTTTTAAAATGTTTGTTTTCTCTTTGGTGGCGCATATGTTGAAGGGAAGCCCAGGTATGAGCCATGCTGGAGCGACATCGCAACGATGGATGTCGTTTTGACGGTCTCACGCCGGCTTCTCTAACATGAGTCCGCCTGGAGATGAGCCCGAACCACGGTGGGCCGAAGCAGTGTCCGAAATGAGCCAAACTAGACGTAGTCTAGTCAGGGCCAAATTAGACAAGTCAGACTCGGAACTAGGCTCATATCGGGCATTGGTCGGTCCTCCAGTGGTTCGGGCCCAACTCCAGGCGAGCGCATATCCGTTAGCCGTCACGCCACCGGTGGGCTAACTGGACCGACCTCCATGAGAACCCCGAGGGACACACGGAGGTGGAATGCCATGCGCTGGGCCTGGGAATGCCGCGCGGTGCCCCGGTCGCCGTGACGGGGCGAAAGTCATTATGGAACGGACCCCCGCCGTATCGCACCGGCCGCCTGGCCTGCACCGCCTCTCCTCCTCAGTCCGTGCCTCTCCGTCGCCTTCCCTCCCGAGGACAGTCACGCGAGTCTCTGATTGCGGTCCTGCTTGTGATTGCATAGCCCTCGCTCTGATTGACACGGGCCCATCGGTTGCGCGGCGGGTTGCCTACCTCCCCGGCGTAGGTAGGCGGGCGAGGCGGGCGGGTGGCGGGTGGGTAAGCTGCCTACTCGCTCGGGCTCGGAAGGGTGTGGGGCGGACGGCAGACAGACCGCGCTCACCTCGGCCGATCGGCTCGCCCGCTGGGCAGCGGCTGCCGAGGGGTCCTTCACGCAAAAAAAATCAGTGTACACCCTTCAGAAAAATCACGAAAAAATCATTTTAAAAAATCATGAAAAAATCACTAAAAATCTTTTAAAAAATGACGAAAGGTCAGAAAAAAATCACAAAAAATCAAGAAAAACAGCAAAATCGGTGTACGCTCCAATTCTAATGAAGGACCCCTGCTCACCGTTCTCTCTGCTCGCCGCCGGCCGCTGCTGCTCCTCGACCCCGCGTGACAGAATCAATCGTCGGGTCGGATTCGCCCGCGGCGGCATAGTAGAGGGTGGCCGGGGCTGAGTGGTGTTTGCGGCCGCGATACGCCACAATTAACTACCCGACTTCCCTCGGCAGCGTGAGGCCCGGGCCACAGCCCAGGCGGGGCCGGCCGGCGAGCTCAATGAGGATCACCCGCTCGCCAGTCCGCGCTCACTGCTCATCGTAATCACCAGAGTTTTCTGTTTTGGTTTTACTCTTTTTCCCTCCGCTGTTTTAAACGATACGTAGTGTGTTTCGGATGCGCGTGATGTAAATTCTAGGCGAAGCACGCGCCGCCGTGTAGATTTACTTGATCCTAGCGGCGGGAGGACCAGAGAAGGGCCGGGTGGGGACGGGTGATCTAAAGCACGTGAGTGGTGGCAGTACTCGAACCGCCGGACGGGACGGTCGCGCGGGTACCTCCAGCAGAGGAGAGCGAGAGGGGACAAGAGAAATGGGACGCCTGTGTGAGCACTCGACACGTTTATCTCCCGGTCGACACTGAGGACGCTGGAGGGTGGGGCGCAAGGCACGGGCCGAAAGTGATGTGCTGTCGCCGGGTGTCCTGCTGGGTGTCCTGCTGGGTGTCCTGCTGGGTGTCCTGCTGGGTGTCCTGCTAGGTGTCCTGCTGGATGTCCTGCTGTGTGTTCTGCAGGGTGTCCTGCAGGGTGTCCTGCCGGGTGTCCTGC